TAGAAAGGCAAACATTTCACAGCATGCAATTCCTGTTTTGTAAGAATGGTTTGGAGATAGCAGTTTTCATCGAGATTGCATTTCATGTGGTCGACATCAAAAAAGAAATGTTTCTGGTAACAGTTAAAAGGTCTTACAGAAGGCCTTGATATTATCCCTTTCCGTATTCTACGTGATTTCTGGTTGTGAGAGGTCTCTAAAATTTAAATAAGATGATGTGGCATGCCATTGATGTTCCTCTGGAATCTCATCGTGTGATGACTACCAAGCTGTCTCATCATGCGACGTTATATCAGGATGATCTCATCATACTAAATATTGAAATGTACAATATTAACATTACTTAAAATATAATTCATTGAAAGTGTTTCGTATGGAAATGTCATTAACATCAGATGATATTTCCAAATTTTATGGATTAGGATTAAGGGTGATGTATTAATACAGAATACTTCACTCTTAATCACAACGTGGATATGAGCCAGTTTACACGAAGACATTCCTCCCTTTAGGCAAATAACCCTTGCGTGTGTTTTTCCATAATTAAAATAAACGAAGCCTTTCACTAGGGTGGGATAATCACAGTTCAGCAGTCTTATTATCCAATCAGCGTAGAAGACCATTCAATTACTGACAATTTTATAACTTTTTAATTCCCAGACATACTTGCGGCAGATGGCTCGTCTACCAATGCCAAGGATCGAAGAAAAAAAAAAGGGGGGCTATTAGCAGGGCTTCATGAAAAGCCTTTCAAATGGAATCTGAAAGCCTGACTATGTTACCAGCACTGGTGAAAGGTGCGGGTATTGTTCTTAATTCCTCTAGGTGTAGCAGCTGTAAAATAAAGTCTAATATAGCCCTCATCTTAACTTGCAGAAGTCTATTAAGTGTAAACATTTAGACAACTAGAATCTAAATTTATGCAAGAAAGCATATGATCGAGAGAAGATTGTGCACTCAAGCATTTAAAATGGTCAAGGATAACATTTTGCCTGTTGACGACTTAAAGGCTGTTTAAAAATTGTAACATAAAGACATATAGCTCTCACGTTATATGCTATAATCCATACAAGATATCGAATCTTTATTAAAACTGCATAAAATAAACCCAAATTACACAGTGTATACTACTGCTGTGTACATTGATAAAAGAACTTCTTGTACAATTAAAAAGCGTATATGAATAATGAAATATAAGTTTATCATTGCCTACAATGTTATTTTCTATCCTTCTTTATAATTGCTGTTAGAAGTTTTCATAAAGAATTTCTAGCAGAAATTGTTTACAGAAGTTTCCCGGTAGTGTGGACGAAAAACTCCCGATAAGAGAATATCGTTTGGAAATGGAAACTGTAGGAACAATTTATAAATGTCTTCTAGTAGAAGAAGCGCTTTATAAATGGTTCTGCGATCTGAATCTCCAAGTGATATTCTCTCTCTACCAAAGCCATTTTTTGAAAGTCCCCGAAGTAAACGAAGAAGTTTTACATAAACAGTTCCTGCAGTGTGTATATCCAAGTCATATTTTAAAAGTTTTTTTCAACAATCGTTTATACAGAACTTCAGCTAGAAGTTCTTTATAAATGGTTCCGTATTTTAATACTAGTCAATGCCGCCCATCGTCCATGGATAAAAATAGCAAAAAAGGAAGAGAATTTAGATTAAAGACTAGACCCGTTAGAGACTCAGTCTGCATACGATGTCGATAAAAATTTTTCCAGAATATAGCTTGGAGACAAAAACTGCAGGAGCTTCTAACAAAGAATATAAAGAACGTCTAACATATCTTTATAGAAGTTTCCTGCAGTTTAAATCTCTAAGCGATATTCTTCCTTTACCAGAACCATTTATAAAGAAATTTTCAAAGAATGTATTTATAAACTACTGCAATTTGTATCTCCAAGTCTTCCATATCTTTGGAAGTTCTTTTAGTAACGGATCCTATTCAAGGCTATTCATCTTCCCTCCCAAGGAGATACTATAAAAATATGTGGCCTTGAGGAGTAAAGATTTCATCAGCTGGAAACTCAGTGTGCAAAAAATCAGTTTTCGACAGGGAGAGTAATCGCCTATATATACATATTGCAGGAACCGTTTGCAAAGACCTCCTTTGATTTTAAGTTTATAAACGTTTTAAGTAATGGGTCTTGCAAAAAGGCCATTCATTCTCTTTCCTAAGGAGATAAATAGTGAAGTGGTGAATAAACAATCTATCGGTTGGACAATCAATCTGCAAAAAGTGTTCAAAGTCAACTACAAAAAATGCCCCCCCCCCGCGAGGGAAAAAAAAACTTCTGAAGAAACAACATCAATTGGAGGCGCAAACTACTGCAGTCGTTTATAAAGAATGGCTTCAGTTAAAAATTACTGTAAACAGTTCCGATAACGGATCCGACGCAAAACCATTTCTCTTCTCTCTCATGGAGGTAAAGAGTGAAAGGAAGTAACTTTAACGGTGAAGATTTTAGAAGTTTACGTACAGTCTTTTGCAAAACGTGTTGGCAAAGATACTTCTTATGATTAAATTCTTTATAAATGGTTCTTGCAGTTTGTATCTGTAAGTGATATTCTCTTTTTACAAATCGTTACCAATTTCACTTATATGGAACGCTAAACAAAAAAATTTCTTTACGAACACTTTGCATCTTAAAGCGGCAGTCTTCTTTTATATATATATGTAATAATTTTAAAATGCGTAGATGAAGTAGATGAAGACACTGGAACTTGTAACAGCTTTCGACATTGCGTAGATGGCTGAGAAGACCGTAGTGGCTTTAAGGCAGGAATAAGTGGAAAAGCATGATGACGCATTTAGCACAACGTATTTTAAAGAATCACAATCTTAATTTTCTTACGTTTATCTTTTTGCAAACAAGGTGTTTCCTAATTATGTTTCAATACAATTAAGTTCCATTTTGAAGTACTGCGTCATCCTAAGCAAGTAAGCGGCAGCAGCATGGATAAATAACGTCTTGCCAGCATGAGAGCTTATACGAAAAAGGGAAGAGTGTCATAGCACTGCGGAGGAAGAAGGTTGGGAGTGGGAAAGTTTCAGTTCAGAGTTTTGGTTTACAATTAATTTTGATTAGACAAGAGGCATCTGCATTAAAACGTTACGTAATATAGAAAAATTTGGAACCTGTGAGTAAAGATGAACCCACAGGGATATCACCAAATTTAGAATGTTAATTTTGAGGTCGCCATTTTTTTTTTTTTTTTTTTTTTTTTTTTTGGGAACAGCTATTATATTTTATAGTATCTTACATACAAGATGAACCCACAGGGATATCATCAAATTTAAAATGTTAATTTTGAGGTTTCCAATTATTTTTTTTTTAGAACAGCTATTATATTTTGTTATATATTGCATATATATATCTTTTTCACTTCCTTGTACGAAGTAAAAGAAGTATTGTAGTCACGAAAAATTTCAGTATCATATTTCGACAAAAAATGTCCGGTTAAACCGCTCTCGAAAACATTTGAACGATGTTTTTGCGTTACATCTGTACGTACGGACAGAATAAAGGGCTGCTTTTGCCGAAAAGGATTGTAAAATGGATTCAGAAGAGAATTTTCCCTTGACCTCTTAACGTACATTGGTACGTATATATGTATATCGCACAACTCAAGAACGAGTACCCGTAGAATGTTGAAATTTTGTATATAGGACTGCTATAATATTTAGTTCTGAACTTCCCTTTTTCGTTGCACTCGGTAATATTAACTGGCTGTTCCAATCTTATACAAATATATATGTATATATTCTCATTCTTTCCCTGGCTCGGTGAGCTTAGTTTTTTATTCTTATACGTTGTATAATAGTGCATTTTTTGCTTTAAAAGTGAACGAGTTTTGTTGTTATGCTCAGGTTACGATTTTTATGCCTTAAGTTAATCTGCATGCAATAATTGTTGAATTTGAAACTCAATAGAATAGTGAATTAAGTCAGTTTCTGCACCTTCAATGTCTTTTTGCCGAGTGGGAGCAAAAGTAAACTTTTAATTTTGTGCACCGAAAAATCTGCCTTCTTGTACGTTGGCCGAATTGCTTGTTTTTGTATAAAAAACTATAATTTTATTTCTAAAATCTGCTTTTTAAATTGTTTTAACTATATTTGGTGTATTATGTTTTTCTGCATTTTACAATTTCTAATGGAGATGTTGTTTTAAGTTTTTATGTATTTTTGCTTTGCCGCGAAGTGATAACTAAATTAATTGAATGAGAAATAGATCTCTAATGAAATTCGAGGAAATAAGCTTAAATGAAATGCAGCAAAACATGTGTATGATTTAATACTCCGTACAGGGAAGTCATGTGGTGTGCCCCACATCAGATTTTCTTTAAAATTTTGTCACCAGCAATCTTACAGACCAATGTATAGCATGAATTTTATACTATAAAGTATTTGTTATGTAATCTCAGTACTGAAATGTGCATTCTAATACAGTCTAAAAAATGCAGCATACGTTTTATTCTTTTTCAGTTTCTTACACTAGAGGAAGAATGGGATGTCATTGCCTAGGATTACCTTTGCTGGAAGCTTTATGAAGAACGTCTAATGGAAGAAGTTCATTATAAACGGTTACAGTCCGCTTATCTATCAATATTGTTGGTTTACAAGTGTTTCTTCAACAGCTTTTGGAGTCTGAATTTCCAGAAGGTGCAGTCTTTGTTCAAACCTTACTTCTTTTCATTATTTATCTTCGTATGAAGGCGAATAAATTGTTTTGACCAGTATTTTAATGGTTTTAATGAAAATCTTGGAATGCATGTATAAAGAATACTAATCTGAATAATGTTAAAAAGATCATCTCAAACACTCTACTTCTTAAACTCAAGGTTATTCAAATAAATCGAAGTTCTTAAATTATTTACTACAAAAATGCAATAAAAAATACCGAAAAGCAAGAAATACTATTAAGTACCTCAAAAGAATCACATCATTAAAAAAAAAAAGCATATTTTTTCGATACCGCAAGAAATAAATATAACCTTACCTGGCTGTTCGCATCAAGCTATCAGTTGGGTTTTCCTTCAAAATCAGATTTTCGCACATAACCATGTTGTCATAAATCACATTCTTGAAACCAGATACTTTACAGTTCTTCTGAGACATAACATACTCCATGAAGAATCGATCGTTGCCTTCAGCATTGCTAGCCAAGTCAGAGAGTCTTCGCCAGTAATCTTCGAATGCAGCAATCTCTTTAGGAAATGGCGCCAAAGAAAATATATTCTTCTTGTTGATCATGGTGCCTAAATTCCGGAGCTTGGAAAAGGCAGGCATCCAAGAAAACAGCCACTGAAGGCGAGAAAAATTATTCTGGGATTCACCGAGAGCCTGAATTATCATTTCAAACGATTTAGTGTGACCTGTAGCAATTAGAAAACGATATACATTATTTAGATCAATTTTATTATCAAATAAAAAGACTCATAGTTTATCTACAATTTATCAAGTAATAGTATTGAAGAAAGATGTGACTTTTTAATATTTAAGAAAATAAACATATGGCAGAAGAACTGCAGTTTTATTCGAATTTACGTTTCAGTTCTAACATTCTCCGGAAATGAAATGACGATTGTAAAAGTTAATATTATCAACTCCTGTTTAACTAAGGACAAATTAACTGAGCGTCAGATTAAACTTAAGCTTTATTTAGAATAAATGTTAAGCTCGTTTATTGCGGAACGCTGGAAAAAGTACGATTTCAGACCGTAAGTGTAAAACAAAATAAATGCTCAATTTAGACATAGCATGAATTCTATACTATAAAGTATTTGTTATGTAATTTCAGTACTGCAATGTGCATTCTAATACAGTATACGCCGTTAATGTGATCAAATTTGTTCATGCTTATTTTTTATAACATTAACCGAATAATAATATTATGCGATGAAAAAATAACCTTCAAAATATCAAGGGAATTTAAGTAATTTATTACAATATAACTAGAAAACGTAAATATTTACTTTCACAGCATTTTAATTAAGGAAAAGTCATTAATCATTGATTGTCTGCAAATGTTCAGAAAATTCAGATATGAACGTTTACTATTCATAATGTTTCTGGAAATAATTTGACCGATGCTCTACCTAATCTTAATAATCTTTATTCTTCAGCTCATCATTTTTAGGAAATTCACCAATTTCATCATCATCTTCTTCAGAAAGTTTCTCACACAATGTACTTGGATTTGTTTCAGAAACCGATTAGCAAATGTTTTCTGTCATTGACGCTTCAAATTGAGGTTTCCCACCGATATCTGTCCAAAAGTTAAATTCCACGCAATTCATATCAGTAGAAAATATTGTTTTTAGTTCTTGAGTATCCTCTATTTCATTATTTATTAATTAGAAAGTCGTCCACGAACATATCCTTCCCCTTAGGTGGATAGTCCCGGTGTGTTTTGCGATATTCAATATTTATAAACTATTTATTACCACCACTATTTATTATAATGTTGGCATGTTTAAAGCTTCTTTCCTTATTTGCGATTCAAAGACATGTTCAGCAAATGCAATATATCGTAGTTTTCTGGTCTTCTTGTCTAGAAGATTCTTCGAAAAACAGGGTCCTTTGTACATGGTAACCTTAAATCAAACTCAGAATACTTGGCAATTTAATCCCTTATTTACTGGCATGTATTTGTCATTTGGTAATTTCTATTCTATTTTGACTTTCCATTTTATTAGGGAATTTACTTCAGTTTAAAAAATTAATTCTAAAATATTCTGATAACATTAACCAACTTGTTGATTACAATAAGCGATGTTTTTGTATACAAACGAGAGGGACTTCTGCACCCGAAAATTCTTATCTCCGTAATGTAGCATGTCTTGTAAAAAACATCTGCAAGAAAAAAAAATTCTATTGTAAATCACATAGCATCATAAGAGCACTCTGAAACCGTTGCGCAAAATTCTACTTTTTATTGTAAACTTGCGATTTTATTATAAATGCTGTTATTCTTGCCGGAAGCTATGTTTGGGTGAGATCTAGCAGATGACAGATTTTTCCACAAGACAGGTAATAAAGTTGGCGATTCACAGTCGTACAATTGGCCCATTCTCTAGTTTACTACACTATTTATAGAAAACAGAAGTCCGTACTATAAAAATAGCGAGAGAAGATGACATCAAAGGAGCATTTGAAGATTTGTTTTTATTCTTAACAATAAGAAATTTAATTGCACTTTATATGGCATACATAAATAATCTGCAACGAAAAACAAAAAGTTCTAACCGAAGTTTTACCGCTTTTGAAGTCAATGACATTATTCAAATTTTCTTTCGAATATATCGTTCTTTCTTGCTATTTATAAATAAGTTTCTTCATTGACAAATAATTTTTATTCTTTCGTTATTTGCAGAGCATTCTTTTTGTTTTGAATACTGATTTAGAATTTATTCTTTAGATTAAACTGGTTGAAAATATAACACATTGATAATTATAATTTGTCGAAATTTCCTAAATGTTTGAGTAATTATAGACCATTCCGAATTAAGAATTTGATCTGGGATGATCTTTAATGTGTAGGATTTTATCCTATTAGCCTATACTCAACACAGTGTAATAAGTTTGCTTCATACTTAAGCATACATATGTAATATGTAGAAACCTGCTTCGTCAGTGCTGATAATGTGTTTTATGAGTTCTATTTTGTTTAGCAAAACACACCATTAAAGCGCCATTTGCAAAGGCTAACAGCGAATTCATACAGGAGGCATTAAAGATTCTTGAACGGCGTCATAATGTAACACAAACTGTTTAGAATTACGTTCATGACTGCTACAACTATAAATAGCATATCAACCATTGGCAGAATTAGGCAAATGTGTCCAACAGGAAATACAGTCGTAGAACGTTAATGGCTAATAAAAATAATGGCAAGCCAAAAGGTGAAAGATATCATGATGATTTTTAACATTAAAATGACGAAAATGACAGAATCTAGAGAATTTAAAAGGAAAGAACTATCCATCCTTTTCCATTCAATAGGAGATTTTTAATCACTTAGAAAATTAGTAAAAAGTAACAAAATATACTTACGTATTATCCAGCACCTGCCAATTCACAGCCAAAATTTGCCGCCTTTTGGGAATGAAGTATATTTTCGATGTCAAGAGACAGATGATACAGATATTTTTATTTCCAGTGCGAACTAGCAGTGTTTAGTATTCAAAATTGTAGCACAGTACTATTCTCCACAGTTGTCTCTGCTTCCGTATCTGCTCTCGAAGTAATATTTCTTATTCTAAAACTTTTTTTTGATTTTTTTTTCCGGGTGGGGAGTTGGTGAAAGTTGCATCGCTGTTGAGTACTGCTGATAGTTTAAATCAGTATAATGTCAAACATGTAAGCTTGTTTTCAGAAAATTATTCTTTTGTTTAATTGAAAATTATGCCAATGTTCTGTACCGCGCTGCGATACTAAATATTTTAAGCCCTTTTTTACTAACTTTCTTAACGGCATTGTTTTATTTCGTTCAGTTGTTATGCTCTATGTCCAACAGCAGTTTTGAATATTTTTCTGTATCACGTAGTTACACTAAGGAAGGAGGTATATATATATATATCGTTTATATATACAAGGAGTATATATATATTATCGGTGTATATATATTATCGGTACACGGAGATATATACACGGAGAGAAAGGATAATATACATATATATTTATATGTATAGGAAGTCCTTTCCCTTCCAGCAGAACCCAAAATATCTCCTAGGATCTAAAATGCTCACGGGAATCAGGTCCAAGATCGGTATTTCTGGACATATATCGGCAGGTACCGGTTAATACATAAGTATTTTATAAATAACTAACTCAAAAGATTACCAATGACAATGACTCCAGTATTGTCTGAGAGTTTGGATGTGAAAGATGAGAGAATTCTGTGGTAAGATCTGAGATCTGCGCCACTTCCGTCTTTCTGGGACTCGGGTACAGTTAATGAACGGATGGCCGAAATGCAGGGATAGCCAGATTTGGAGATCTGACTAAACACCTTGGCGACGAATATGCTGTACTCATCGTCTTCGTGCAGAATGGCCACCTTCTCCCAGTCCATGAAGTGCACAACCTCAGCCAAAACCTAAAAAAATAAAACTGGTTAGATTAGATGCATGTGTAAGTGAAGGGAGATATCAACGCACCAGATGTTGTCTCTCCTCATTCTTAATTTTTTGTAAAGAAAAAACATATCAGCAGTTTTCTACGAGTAATACACTTTTCCCAACATATTGCTTTACGGCTATAAATATGGACACATTTCTGGAAGTGACACAGAATATTAATCATGGTATGGGATTTATTTTTATCTTCCTCACCCATATCATTGAATTATTATATTTTAATCGAGTGAACTGATTTTTGAAAGTTTTATCTGCGGAAATACAAAAAAATTTGCAATGAACAAGATTTGAGACACAAGCGACATGTTATGAACAGTCGGATGGAGACAGTTTCTTCAGAAATATGGTGAACGGTCTTTCGACGATCTTCAAGCCTGCTTGGTCGCATTATCTGAATGCTTTCTTCATGTTTGTTCGTCAGAGGAGTCCAAGTCACAGCAGGCTACATCTGACATGTTGCCACTTTTGAATCCCGAAACCTCTTCATGCACTTGCACTCAGTTTACACATGGCATACGCTTTAAATGTTTGCCGAAGCAAAACAACACTCTTGTGGCAATATAACTGATAAAAACAAAATTTTAAGCACATTCTTTGTTTTCAGATCATTCTTTGTTTTAGTTATTTCAGTGAACCAAGACTGAAATACAGTGATACAGAATAAAAACTTGTTATTGACAAAATTCATTCATAAAAACTCCTTTAATAAGAAATAAGAATAACACATTTTATTTAATGATTAACAATATACAATTTGAATACATGAAAATACTTTGACGCATATTATGTTAGAGCGGAAAACGTCTCCAAAATTTGGATAACTGTCATTTCCGCTCGAAAAATTGCATTCACTCTTTGTCTAAAACTAAATTACAATAAAATCTCTCGTAATCAGGACCCAGTTAGCTGGTAATTAAAAAATAACGGATAATTTCATAATTAATTAATAAATTTCGAAGTTCTAAATTTAAATCCGAAATTTAAGCCTATTAGATAAAAAGTACACAATCTACTATCAATGTGGAGAATTAAATGTGAAAAATGTTTGTTATATTTCTGCTGCTCAGCGTAACAAATTTATTTCCAATAAAGAAACAAGGAATTATCCTGAGTATTATTATGAACTAGTGACCCCTTTTTAATGAGTCAATGTGTGACTTCAAAATCAGTGTCTACGATTTTCAAAAACAATTCACCTAGAAAAACGCTCTTTTGCGTTGTATATTGCGTGAAAAATGTAAAGAATATTACTCTACGTTGCTGTTGGCACAAACTGCGGCGTATGACGTAAGTGACGATCTGACTGATATGATGATTCTTCTGATTTTGAAACACATACAGATCCCGTGCCCGACATTTTAGAATTAATTTCACGTTCGGAGAAGTTTAGGTCTAGTGAAGAGAAGGTTCAGTGGGCGGATGTAGATAATTTTGTTCCCGTCACATTCTTTCAAGATCATGACGAAATAATCGGACATGTACTGGGAAATAAGAAAGATGAGGTAAAACAAAAAGGGATTCGCAATTACGTGCCATTCCACTAAAAATTACTAAGTTTTATGTGATAATGTTTACAGTAATTTCAAAATGACGTTTAATTTTGTGTTTCTAGTATATAAACCCATGCATATGCCTTTTAATATTAGATAATCTTTACGATTTTTTATATTATTTATTTAATTGAGGCCGATAAATTTCAAAACACAAACAATGGACTTCGCAAAGAGTAAGTTTCATCGTAAGACATTAACAGGTATGTTCTAAAAATATATATTGAATTTTCTGGGGAAAAAAAATCTGTTATCCAGAATTTGAGAGATTCCGGTGCAGAAATGAGAGATTCTATTGTCATAAGAAGTCTAATTTTTTTTAAACCTTTGCATTACTTTTCTAGTTTCTTCTCAACCACGTATTTGCTACCAACTATCTCAATCAATTAATGGCCACTTACGTCTAATATGGTGAGCAACCATCTCATGAATTCTGTCGAAAAAGAAGCTTTGAATCTTTTCCGTTGCAGTACAACTACGCGCCAAACAATTTTCTGCTAAATGATATATATTCGCAAATATTACCTACTGGCCCGTTGATCTAAACGTGTAGTTCTTATCATTTATAACAGTATTTTTGCTTTCAAACGCTGCAAGTAAAAAATTTTCAAAGTGCGTCATACTATTTCATTCTCTCTTTTCTTTTTAATAACTAATTTAAGATATATATATTTTTATATGTTAAAAAATATTTTACTATAATGGAAACGAGCTGATAGTGAAAGTTTATTTTCTTGTTTAAAGTATCAAGTTGACGCGTAAAAGAATTTCTCGTAAGACGCGTAAGAGGCGCGTAAGTTGACGCGTAAGAGAATTTTCATTGGCCCTTAACGGGGGAGGAAAAAAAATCAAAATTTTCATCACTATTACTTTGTTTGCCTTTGTTTTTAGATTAAACTATATTTAGGTCATCAATGTCAACGAAAGTCCGATTATCTTTCTACGCCTGAATATGTAACTTGACAGTAGCGAAACTGAAAATAATTATAATTCGTTACTTTAGAATAAGCCCTTCAAAGCCATTTTTACCCTCTCTCTCAAATCATTCCTCATAATTATGGCAACGACTGAGAAAAAAAATTCGAATCCTCAAATTTTCTAAAATTCCCTAATTTCCTCAGCGCAGGGATGACGACACACGTTACGATCGTAAATGAAAAGAAGTGTCGTTACGTTGTTGTTGTGACTTTTGTTCGTCATACGTTTAACTTTCTCTTATTTTGACGAATTCTCATCTTCGTATTAAATGGAAGTTTCAACTAAAGTTCAGTAACACAGGAAAGGCAGTAACACAGGCATAAAACTTAACTAAAATGTTTATTTAAAAATTCATTTTACATAAAAATTAACAAAAATACTAGCATGTGGAGTTTTAATAACTCTGTAAGGTATTTTCCCCCTCTTTTCAGCGTTCTTTCGTGGTGTAATGGTAGCACACTCGGCGCGTATTTGAGAGGTCCACGTTCGAGTGCCGACGAGGGCATTGCACATTTTTCATGTCTCCTGCTTCAAAATAACATAACGACTGTACAACTCACTGTTTTGATATATATATCAAGTATTTAAATAAATATAATATACAACCTAAGTTCCAACTACTAAAAAACTCGATTCTGACTAATACGGATTCCTATCCTGCGTGTTTATAAGGCATTTCTCCCACCTTCTTGGCGAGCCTTCGTGGTGTGGTGGTCTGCACACTGGGCCGGTATTCCAGAGGTCCGCGGTTCGATTCCCGGCGAAGGTTTTGTTAGTTTTTCATCATTCCTGCTTACTAAAAATACCTTATGTCTCTACATGTTAACAAATACAAAATTTACTCATCGATCACGCATGTCATGTAGGTACGATTCTCAGGCTAAGCAGCTATACTAGCTCCTTGTCACAGTACTCTTTTAATTAAAAATTCGCTTATGACTGAACTCATTCTGCATTCCGATGACGACTGGTGGAAGAAATAAACGGTACAAAAAAGAATAAACACACGAATAATGTGTTAGCTAAAATAGATCTTACACACATTTTTGATATATATATATATATAGAGAGAGAGAGAGAGAGTAAATATAATAAGCTCGCCAAAAAGTAACCAAAAGCTGTGGCTCCAAGAAAACTCCAACATAAGCCTATTCAGTAGTTATTGAAAAATGTGAAAATGGAAAAAATTTTGTATCTTTACAAGTTCGATTAAATTCATATATTTTATAAACTGCATGACATGAAACTTTACACACATATGTACGAACCTGTCAAGTTCAGATTACACATGTTCAATATGTCCTCCATCAGCGACACGAACAGTATCACATCGATACTTAAAATCCTTCCATACTCGGGCAAGCATGTCCGTCGTCACTGATGTTATGACAATACGGATCCGGTTCTTCACCTCTTCCAGGTTCTGTGGAAGTGGTGGTACATAAACGTTGTCTTTAATGAAACCCCACAGGAAGAAGTCACAGGGTGTCAAATCCGGTGGCCGTCGAGGCGAGCTGAGACATGCTAAGTCGCCAGCTCCTTGATGAGCAATCCAACGGTTCGGTAGAGTTTCAGTCAGAAAATCGCACACTTGGCGACACCAGTGAGGGGGGGGCAATCTTAATGAGAAATGAAGTTGTCTTCGTGCAACCTCGGAAACAAACAGTTTTGTAACATAGCAAGATACTGCTGACCGTTAACCGTGTTTCCATCAAAGAAGAATGGGCCGATCGGGATATCGCACAAAACACATTGATTTTGTGCGAATCTCGTACATGTTCAACGGCTGCATGTGGGTTCTATAGGCCCCAAATTCAAACACTGTGTTTGTTTACATGACCACTAACATGAAAAGTAGCTTCATCACTGAACACGATGCGTTGTGCAAAAGTGTTATCATTGTCAATATCATCAATAACCTCGTTACAAAAGTGCCACACGTTTGCGTTGGTCATCAAGACGCAGAGCCTGTAGCAAATGTAACTTGTTTGGCTTCACAACCAACCGATATCTCAAAACACGTCAAATTGTTGTTGTAGGCAGTTGTAACTCCCGACTAGCACGACAAGTTGATTTCGAAGGACTTCGTTGGAAAGCAATTTGAATTCGTACAACATTCTCGTCGGGAACACGAAGGCGGCCAGTTCTCTTTCCTTTACATACACATCCTGTATTTACAAACTGCCAATACCATCTGCGAATGTTCCACCCATTCGGAGGATCACTTTGGTACCTCAACTTGAAACGCCATTGCATTGTAATCACGAAACTTCGCAAACTCGAGAACACAAAATAATTTCTGCAGCGGAGTAGCCATTTTAAACATGTGACGATTACCACGCAAAACAGAAGACTACTGACATCTAGTGCTATTAATATAAACTAGACTATGTATTCGTTTTGCCAATAGCCGAGCCGAGGCGCAGTGATCG